GGCTGCTCAGAGCAAAGCCTACAGCCCCCAGTGTGGCTCCCTCCATCCGCTCTCCTCTGAGTTCCTTGGAGATCGTAGAGAGCATGCGCGAGATGATTAAATTCAAAGCAGCAAAACATACAGAAATGATCCAGGGTTTCCGCGGATCATCTAAAATAATTACAATCCATTATTTTTTGGTGGATTTTTTTCATTAATTTCATAAATTTTATGGGATTTCGGTGTAAGAATCAACATATACCGAATCGAACCGAACCGAAAATCGTGACCAGAAACCGTGAATCGAACCGAACCGTGGATTTTGTGAACCGTTCCACCCCTAGTCGATACTCAAAGCTGCTGTATTGTAATAGAAAAGCTACATCAGGACAGCCCCCATCTCACCACATGGTTTCATCAAGAATACTTGTTGCTGTTGGCTTATCTGGGACTGGGTCACAAAGTTCCTTCTTCCCAGATACCTCCTCAAGCTGCTCTCGGAAAAGCTCAAGGCATTACAAGATCTGCTGAGAAATCGTCCCTCTAACACGTTCCGAGTCGCTCCTTGGGCCTTTTCTCTGTAGGACATTCCTTGCCACCATGTCTATACTCCTGGAGCACAGGGCTCCATGACAACCTTCTCTAGATCTAGCACAGGTGCACTGTTTGGGCAAATTCCCTTAGACCTTGAGCATCCTGCAGAGGTTATAGAGCTGGTTCAGTGTTTAGAGCTGTAATGAAACTAACACAGTTTTCCTCCTGAAGCCAACGATTGACAATCAGTCCAACTCCCCCCCCCAGCATCCCAGCCTTCCTTCCTGGGAGGCTAGGAATTGTGAGCCCCTGTAGTTGGAACACTTTCGTTTACCTGTTCTTGTGAAGAAGAACTACTCCTTCCATAAAATCTCAAAGTGACCGCAACATCTTTTCCAATATCCCTTCAGCGATTAATTCATTTTAAAACATATCTTGAAGGGGAGAGACAACTTTATTGTAGATGCAGAGGATGTCTGGACACCAGTTCTAACAAAATTTGCACAATGACCAATTAAACTGAAAACATGAAACTCAGCCCTAAACACCATTTGATATTGGGGCTAGGGTCATAAAATGTCATTTTGAGATTGATGGAAAATGTATTACTACTTCTGTCTTTGTCTCCCAGTCCAGGGAAATTGTTCCTGGCCACCGCAAGAGGTGCTGGACGGTTGGAGGCTGACTGGTATCTAGTCTCCATGGTCTCTCCCAGCTAATCCCAGGCCCAGGTTTCTCCTTCTGCAACTGCCTGGGCATTGGAACACCTTGCCTCTAAGTACTTGTTTTCTGCCTTAGGAGCCCCAGGAGTGTCCATTTGTATATACAGAGTGTATACAAAAAAAATGTTTTTGCATCTTTCAGACAGTAAATGAGAAGCAGCTTAGCAGTGAAATTAGCATTTCCATTTCATAGTGCAGCAGTGATTAAAGCTGCAGTATTGTAATTTTGTGATTATGTTTTTTGTGATTTTTTGTAATTTGTAATATTGTGTTTTGTATATACCTCTTCCAGCGTATCAAACACACGAAGAGGTGGTGATTTTTGGACGTCTACCTCTCTCTTAACCCAATTGTCCAATACATGGGCTAAGTAACAGAAGATATGACTACAGAAATCAATCAAGCAGGACAAATTGGGAGATGTTGAGTCACCAGGTCATCTCCATGTCATGTAGGTATTCTGCCCATCCACTGAATCAGGTGAGTCCAATCTGCACAGTGAATTAATCTGTGAGGATTTGACTCGCCTGGTTCAGCGGATAGGCAGAACAAATACATGACATGGAGATGACCTGGTGACATCTCCCAACTCTGCCTGGTGCAAAGTATGCTAATTATTACCTTTATGATTAAAGGTATTTCTTATAGACAATCCATGGCTGAATGAGTGGAACCTGAGGCCTGGCAAAGAGGAACCCAAACACCAGCCCTGACAACTCAACCACCAACCCTGGCTCCCCGACCACCAGCCCTGGCTCCCCAACCACCAGCTCTGGCTCCCCGACCACCAGCTCTGGCTCGCCGACCACCAGCCCTGGCTCCCCGACCACCAGCCCTTGCTCCCCGACCACCAGCTCTGGCTTCCGGACCACCAGCCCTGAGTCCCCGACCCCCGGACTGGCTCCCCGACCACCAGCCCTGACACCCCGACCACCAGCCCGAACCCCCCTACCAGCAGCCCTGACTCCCTGACCCCAGGACTGGCTCCCAGTCAACCAGTCCTGGCTCCCTGAACACCAGCCCTGGCTCCTCGACCCCAGGACTGGCTCCCTGACCACCAGCCCTAGCTCCCTGACCCCAGGACTGGCTCCCTGACCAGCAGCCGTAGCTCCCTGACCCCAGGACTGGCTCCCTGACCACCAGCCGTAGCTCCCTGACCCCAGGACTGGCTCCCTGACCAGCAGCCGTAGCTCCTCGACCTCAGGACTGGCTCCCTGACCACCAGCCGTAGCTCCCTGACCCCAGGACTGGCTCCCTGACCAGCAGCCGTAGCTCCCTGACCCCAGGACTGGCTCCCTGACCACCAGCCCTAGCTCCCTGACCCCAGGACTAGCTCCCTGACCACCAGCCCTGGCTTCCTGACCCCAGGACTGGCTCACCGACCACGGGACTGGCATTGATGCATTGTGTAAAAACAAGGTAGAAAAGCCTCAAACAAACAGAGACAGAAAAAAGAGAAAAGACGAAGGACCTTTGCCCAAGATAAATGCTAAACAAAGGCTAAAAAGACAAAGTTTGATCCCAGATTTTTCCTGATTAAAACACTGAGCTCACATAAACACAAATATGCTGTTATTTTTACAGCAATCATCCAATCAGAGTCCATCCAGAGAAGAGCTGAGGACTGTGGGAATGACTTTTAAAGCTTTAACAGGTACTCAGTTCATTTATTTCAACAAATATCAATAAACATAAAATATTAATCTATCATTGAAAGTTGCTGCTGTCTTAGTAGAAGGTTTATTAATCTAAGGAAGCAAAACATGGTATACTAAACAAAAGTTGAATCTTTATTGTATGGATGAAGGTCAGAATGGGACACCATTGGATTGTTTCTTTGGATTAGAGTTCTACTAAAACTGGTTCTTCTGACTTCAAATACCCACAATGTTACAGAGGAAAAATTTAACAATTAGCTCCTGATGTGTTTCTATATCTTTTATGGAGGCATTGTAATGCGTCCTCACCTCATAGTAGCTCCTCACAGCATTGCAGAAAGCTTCATCAGCCACAATCTGAGTTTCACCGTTGAGAAAGGCCAGGAAGCGCTCCTTGACTGTCTGCAGCTGCTGCTTGTTAACCTGACAGAAAACAGTGAAGCACACAGAGGAGTAAATATAAACCCCATCATCAGTAGTGTTTAGTGTCAGCGTAGTAATTAGATATAATAATACTGTAATAAGGATTATTATTTAATAACAGTACAACTGTATTTTAACCTTGGGTCATTCAGTGAAAGATTTATCACTTAGATCAGATCCACCCTCCTTTGGTTGGTGAT